TTTCAAAACAAACCACAAAGCACCATTTCACACAATTGAAAACCAAGGCAAGATTGATCTAAGCAAGTACCTAAGAGCCCATGGATAACCATGGATGAAAAGGGTGCTAATACCTTCCCTTTTCATAATCTACCCCCCGAACCCACGAAATATCTCAAAAGGTTTTTGCTGTGCTTTTTTTAACCTTTCCTTTAGGATAAAGTAAAAAGTCGGTGGCGACTCTTGCTCAACCGCACAAGTGCGAATACGAACGCAAAACACTAGTCAGTTCTCCCACCGTATCACAACGCTGGTACCTGATTCCCTGCTTAATCTCATCTCGGAGACCATTCTCAAATTTGATACACTTAGAGAATTCTCCAGCCTCATCATTGTTGTAGTGAGCATAATACTTTGCCAGCTCAGTGAACTTAGTAGCATACTTACTAACAGTCAGATTGCCCTGCTTAAGCTCCAAAAACTCAATTTCCTTTCTTCCCCGAACATCTTCAGGAAAGTACCTCCTCAGAAAAGCTCTTCTGAAGTTAGCCCAAGACAGTGCCTCTCCATCCTGAACCATTTCAGTCCTTGTGGCAACCCACCAGTCGTCGGCCTCTTCTGCCAACATATGCGTACCATATCTGACTTTCAGATCTTCAGTACAATCAATCACACGGAAAATCCTTTCGATTTCCTTCAGCCACTTCTGAGCACCTTCAGGGTCATGTGTACCTTTGAACAACGGAGGATTGTTCCTTTGGAAATTTCCCAATTGCCTATCAGCACCAATCACGCCTCCAGTTGGGTTTCCAGCAAGTACACCAGCTAACATCCCCAAAGCCTCAGCTAGTGCAGCATCATTTCGTCCGTTACCTCTTCCAGCCATGTTCCTGAGAATCAAAACATACTCTTCATCAGAATACAGTATCGACAGTGTTACCTTACACTAATCGCATACAAAAGGGATGACTGACTCAAGACTCTGGTCGCAACGACCGACTATGCTCTGATACCACTATTGTAACACCCTCTAAAAACCCCGAATAAAATTTCGCAATTATTAAAATCATAATTTCAGAGTACATGTATAATCGAGGATGCTACAATTCTCTTTAAATAACACAAATTCCTGTCATGCATAACGTAGTAGTAACTCATACATGTTTACACAGCGGAATAATTTAATTAATAAAATCAATGTTATAATATTTTCAAATCATCAGGGATTAACACCTGGAAAATGTCAACATCATATTATAACAAAAACATAAGGAATTAAACGAGTCTGACTAAAACAGCTCGACAAACAAACGTTCCCGGAGTTACAACTATCAGAGCATGACCCGGACAATACTAAAGCGAAAGTAAACTAGAAACGACAAGCCTTCGCCAAGCACCTGAACGAAGCTCCTCAATCTGAAATATTCAACAGTAAGGGTGAGCATCTCAATTATACATTTGATTATACGTTCATAACAATCAATTCAGGAAACCATAAGCATCACCCAACAATTAGCATATTTCATAGTTTACAAAAACCTTTACAATTCATATACCCATAATATATTACTTTTCATATTTGCAATTAACATCAAACATCGTCAACAGTTTAGCAACCATACGTGCATACAAACAATCAAATACAACATTGGAAAAATCATCCATTCATGTTATATTCAAGGTAATGCAACACACCCATGCATGTGGTACCACTTTACCGCCCCATTAAATCTCGGGTCACGGATAACTCACTGTTCCATTATATCGCGGACACGGCTACCACCTCAATGTTCCATTAAATCGCGGACACGTATATTGGCCACCATGTTAATTCCACACAATGGGAATTAACAAATGCAACATGATATGTAAGTATGTAACACTCAGCATACTATGAACATCAATCAACATATCATGCACATCAACAACATCAATCATAACAGGATATGGATAGCATGTAATCACTCAGCATACTATTTAAACATCAATCATATCAAGTCATATCATAATTCATGCTCGATAACATTATCCAAAAGCATGACAATAGAATCCACAATAACGCACAGAAAACAAAATTCAGAAAATCAACACAGCAGCATCAACACGGGTGCCCGTGTTGTGCAACACGGCCCGTGTTGTAACATATCCAGAAACACATTTTTTTTCTCATTACAGGGGACCAACACGGGTACCCGTGTTGTGCAACACGGCCCGTGTTGTAATGTGTCCAGAAAACACATTACTTTTACCAACACAGAAGACCAACACGGGTGCCCGTGTTGTGCAACACGGCCTGTGTTGCTGAGCGCGTACAGAATTTTCCTGTACCTGTAGCAGCTCAGAACAGCAGCCAAACGCGGGAAAATGCCAGCCAAAACGCGCATTTCGGTACCTAACGACATCGATTTTGTATAATTTAAAACAACACCTCAATTTCCTAATTACCAACAATCATTATAGTAACCTTAGAAGTGATTAGTCGATCATTTTGGGGAAATCTGCTAACATTGGGGTTATCCCTATAACTTCTAAGGTAAATTCACGATCATGCAGATATACTCCCAATCCACCATTAGGAACCTAAAATCGTTAATTGATTTCATAAAATTGAGAACCTAAACCCTCTTTAACAAAGTTCAATCCTAAGGGTATCGATCCCTAATAACATCTAACAATTGGGTTTTTCCCTATGATTACCCAAATCAACCGTACATAAACCCATAAACAAAGGTAAATCGAGTAATAGCCCCCCTTACCTTATCAATTAGCAGCTTGAGTTCTTGAGCGATGTTCTTCGTTCTTCTCACCTTCAGAGCTCTATTTCCCCAATAACTCCCAAATTTGTTTATCGTGAAAAATGAGAAAAATAACTTGAGTTCCAAAACACATCTTTATTTCTCCTGCACCCCCACTCTTTACTAACAACATCCAAGCCCAATAACTTAAAAGAAATCCATATTTCTTATTTCTTTTATTTTCCTCCATATTTCAAAATAAATAATTCCTTTTTATTTTATTAATTCTAATAAAATAATTTCCCAAATTTAAATAAATCAAATAATTGAAACTGGGGTGTTACACTTTTGCCCCCTTTTCAATTAAAAAAAGAGAATTTCTTTCTTCAACAGTATATTTTAAGTTAAACCTTTGAAAACCCAAAAATATCCTTCACTTTTGAATATGTTTCTGATATGCACATTTAAAGTCACTTTTTTTTTTCACGTTTTAGTACTTAAACGTATAGGGAACTTTACACTTGATTGTATGAGAATAAAGACAACTTTGATAAAATTCGCAATGCCCTTGTTCCATGTCTTAGCGGTAACGCACCTGTTACATATTGGATGTCCTTTCCTGAGATTGATCATCTTATAGCAAATGCATATGAGAGGGTGTGTGTCGATATGACGAGATTTGGATTTTTGAAGACATTTTCCCACTTCGAAGTCGCCCACCTAAAGACCCGTTTGGCCGCATCATTTATATCAGGTATCTTAATCACGCCATTTTGCTTATTTGCATTTGAAACCGGGGTGTCCTATTCCGGCTACATCATGCCAGTAGACGACACATTCCACAATTGAGGCGAAAACTTGTCCGGATCCCTTTTTCGAAAGGATGGTAGAGTTCACCAAATTGATGGACCTTAAGAGAGAAGCAAATAGGAAGAAGTCGAAGAAAGATCCGATTTTAGATTTAAGCGATGAGAATTTGTTTGGTGCATTTTAGAATGTAATCAAATCATTTTTTAAATGTATTGTCATGCACAATGTAAAACCCATACGATTCAATACATATATAATATATTTATATTTCATTTTACCGTTGTTTAGTGTTACTGATTTTATTTATTTCTATGTTTCTATGCTACTGATTCTGCCATAACATTATCTACTACATCTACATAATTCAAAAATGTACATCCGAAGGAACCTTATATTTAAAAAAAAAAAACATCAGGGTTTTTCGCATTTGCACATCCGAGTCAACATGCTATTAGAAAATAGCATAAAGATGGTTTTGGATGTGCATATGCGAAATAAGCTCTGATGTGTTTTTTATTTAAAATATAAGGTTTTTTCGGGTGTACATTTCTGAATTATGTGGATGTAGTAGATAAGATTTCTTTGGTCTAAATTGCTCCATAAAGTCTATAAATAGGGTCTCCAAACCATTTCATCAACATCACAAACCACAACCAGAAATGACTCAAACATATCCTCATCTTGTTTTTGTCTACTTCAGTGGTGCGAAGTCTCTACTTCAATTTAGGTTCTCGTAGGACACGCCATTCTCCGAGCTTATTACCATAATGAATTCTCTCTTGCAAGAGAATCGAAAGGTGGTCAAGCTTGAGTATCGTTCACCTTCACTTGACATTGAAGAAAACATAAAGTTCATCCCGTTTGAGCTCAAGAACGACAACGATTTAGAGGTTATGTGGGTACTTTTTAATGATACTTTTCTCAGAGTTCGATTGAAGTGGATGCGAAGCTTTAAAGATCGGGAAAAGATGTTATCAAAATGTTGCGACGTCCTCAACTACCCGTTTATAACAATATGTAATTTTAAATTTCTGTAGAACTATATATGTAATTTTGAAGAATCATGCTGAATCTATGTTATGAATTATGTTGATTCTTTTGTCACATAGATAAAATCGGATATGCATATCCAAAATAGGTAATCAAGTGACTTCAAATATTCATATGCGAAGTCAATTTAATAAAAAATAAATCGTAGTGACTTCAGATATGCACATGTGAACGCACTTATTCTTAACAAATAAAGTGAGTTCGAATATATACATCTGAAATCTGGAGGTATTTTGAATTTTTCGTTAGTGATCCGCAAAAAAATATTAAGTGAAAAAAAATTCCTTTTAAAAAAAGATTAAAAAAAACAAAAATTGAGTCTTCAGAACACTGAATTTTGAATTTTAAAATAGGGATCAAAACTACGAGGAACTAAGGAAGAAGGCGTTGAGCGAAGCATAATCCTGCAAACTTTTCTCTTTAAAAATGTATCATTTTCTCATTGCTAGATTCACCCATCATAGGATCCATCACTCTAGTGTTCTATGCCGCAATGCGTTTTCTCTTTTCTTCGATTCTCGTTCTTTTTCCGTTTCCAACACAAACCACTATCATCAACCTGAAAACTTTACCTTGTCAACCCTCGTAAATTCATGCGGGTTGTCCCCTGAAACCGCCCTTAAACTCTCCAAAAGGTTGCAAACCAAAAACCCTAATGGCCCAAATGCTGTAGTCCAACTTCTCACCAACCATGGCTTCTCTGATTCCCAGTTACGTATCTATGTCAAGAAACACCCTTTGGTACTTTTATCAGATGCCCAAAACACCCTTTTGCCAAAGCTCAAATTTTTTCAATCCATTGGGGTTTCAACCACTGATCTCCCCAAAATCCTAATCGGGAACACTTCCTTTTTGTCAAAAAGCTTGCACAAACACCTAATACCTCGTTATGAGGTCATTAGGAGCCTAGTTTGCAATGATAAAGAGGTGGTTTCAGCTTTGAAGCATTGTTCAAGGAACCTTCACTGTGGTTGGGCTGTAAAGGATGCAGCTCTCAACATTGAGGTTTTGAGGAAGCTTAATGTGCCTCAAGGTTGTATTTCCCTTTTGGTATCCAATTTTTCTGGTGTAGCATTCACCAAGCATTCTGTATTTGTTGAGGCTGTTAATTCAGTCAAGGAACTGGGTTTCGACCCTTTGAAGTCGAATTTTGTTTTGGCACTCCAGGTGTTTGCGAAAATGAACAAGGATATTTGGGAATCAAGATTTAAGATTTTCAAGAAATGGGGTTGGTCAAGAGATATGTGTCTTTCGGCTTTCTTAAAGCATCCGCAATATGTGATGATTTCAGAAGAAAAGATTATAAAAGTAATGAACTTCTTGGTGAATGATGTTGGTGTTAGCCCCGAAGATATTGCCAGAATGCCTGGTATTCTGAACCGCAACTTGGAGAAGACGTTTATCCCTAGATGGGCTGTTGTTAAAATTTTGAGGTCAAGGGGTTTGGTAAAGAGTGATTTACGCATAAGTAGCGTTATTTCCATAAGTGAGAAAAAGTTTTTGGAACGATATGTAACCCGATTTCAAAAAGATGCGCCCCTGTTATTGGATGCATATAATGGTTAGATGATTGATCATTTAGGTATACTCTAAACTTTGAAACTTTGAATTGGTTGTACTTGATTGCAAAAGTTGGCCATTCATTTTTTATGATTTTCATATATAGCTTAATGGTTTGTGTTACTGGTTTTTAGAACTGAATCATTGATATGTTATTTATACCATTCAGTAGCTATCTGCAATAGAAATTTTCACCATTTTCTGAAGTTGTAAGAGCCGATTTTACCATGAAAGCAAGTATGGGCTTGCTAACAGAATATGTCATAGCATTTTCTCATATTTTATCCTACAACTCGGACAGTATGATTATTCCTAGACTCCTCGTGACAAAAATCTTTGAATCGAAATGTCTGCTTTGGAATGGTTAGTGCATACTTAGTTCCATCTGGGATAGATTGATGAAAAGTTTTTTTAATAGATTTGGCATCAATTTTGAGCATGATATGTTTCTGTTACAGGATGTATGCAAAGGTTTTCAGAGTTTTACTCGCCTTCAATATGTTCTGTTTACATTTTGGCATTTTGATTCATTTTTGTTGATACTGCTGAACATAACTAACGATTGACAGATGCTTGTGAAGTGGATCTAGTATAAGTCCAATAATTGTAGGTGCACTAAACCGTCAACCCTTTCATAGATACGCCATAATTATACATATGGCTGCCCCGGAACGTAGTCATTTATAAATTGAATTTTATTAACAAAATAAAAACAATAATTAAAATGACTTAATTGATTTGGTCATCAACAATTCCTCCCTCAATCTGATCTGCATCAAGTTATTTTTTTAACTTCATAAACACATGGTGCCTCAATGGTGCTAATTGAATATGAATTATTTTAAAATTATAGTAGTCTGACTCAGATGGAATTGTTTTACTTATTTTGACACAAAAGTAATTGTAGGACATAATCTTAAAATCAATCACACCTTTTATGAGACCGATTTATTTGATTCTGTTCCAATTTTATGGTGCCTAAGAAAATTATGTCTGCAAGTCTCGAGGCATTGGATAGTTTCTCAACCAAATAAGCAAAACACACCGTGAGTGGTGTAACAAGCAACATACTAATGATTTAGTGCTAAAACTAGTAAGCCATAAATGAAAATCATGAAAATAAATAGCCACTTCTGCAATCAAGATTATCAATTTGACTTCTGACCTTTATAGCAGGAGTTGTATGTAAATAGCAGAAGATGAATTAAACAGTAGAAAGACAAAACCAATGCTAGAGCATGTGCTTATAAAAGCAATTAAAGAAACTGCGTTTTTCCCTTGTTGATTACAATGGATTATAAGCTTAGTTATGTTGAAATATTAAATTAAATTTTATTTGATTAGATTTAATATTTAAATATAATTTATGTTGTGTAGACTCAAATCCAATTAGGGTTGTGTATAAATAGTTCTAGTCTGTATCATTATTTATATTATTCAATAATATAAATCCTTATTTTCTTTATTATTCTCTCTTTCTCTCTTCACTAAAGTGTCTCACGCACCAACAATTGGTATTAGAGTTTTGGTTTGATCCGATGGTAAGTGTTCTTAGTATGCTCTGTAGTTGTAGCTTTGTCTGATCTTCCACATCAAAAAAGAAGGGTATTATTGTGAAAGAGTTGTTGAGTTGCAGTCACACGTTTTGCCGTACAGTTTGGACTAGGGAAAATTGATGGAAGAATTATTTTTGACTTGTGGAAAGTTCGAGTCAAAGATGTGTCGACAAAATCAAGATTACACAAGGAGCAAGATTATGTCGGTGGTTGAAGAGCTTCCTACCAACATGAAAGTTTCACTATAAAGTTTCAACCTGATTTTCGGCATGTGAAAATTCTTGAAGTGGTTTAACTTCAAGTGAAGTATACTCTTCTTTAGGTGGAGTATGATAGTTTTTAAAACTATAATTGTCGGTGAAGACAATGTGAAAATTCTTGGAGTGGTGTAATTTCAAGTGACTATACTCTTTATGGTGGGGTATGATTGTCGGTGAAGACAATGAAAGCTTATGTATTATTTTCAATCAAGGTGGAGATTGTTGGGGTTGGTTGAAAATATACATGTTAAAGAAGTCTCGCATTGCTTGTTTTTGTAAAGGAAGAAGGAGTCCAAGGCTATATATAGGATTCAAGTTTTTTTTTACAAGATGTACCAATCAAAAACACTTTAAGCTTGTATTTGATTATTTTATTTTCTCTTATACTCTTATTTTAGAGTGTAGTGAGAGACAGTTAAATATTTGCTTTGGAGAGTGTGGGTGTATTGGAGGCTTGGGGTATTTTGAGAGTAGTCTATGTGTTGTAACAATTCTCACATAGTGATATTCTCTGGTTGTCATTTGACAACGATCGTGATTTTTTCTCCGATTTTGGAGTTTCAACGTTAATTTTTGTGTTGTTATTTTGTTCCTCTTTTTCTCTATGGTTTATTTTTCCCAACAATTGGCATCAGAGCTTTCGGTTATTGTTCTTGATCGAGTTTTCAAGAATTTCACGTTAAAGATTGTGTTTCTAGGGCAAGTGAATCAACCGCTGCGAAGATGGCTAGTGATAAGGGCATTCCGAATTCTCATCCAATGCTTGACGGCAAGAATTGGATCCGATGGAAAAAACAGACACAATCCTTGTTTGGCTTCCATGAAACCTTAGAAGTGGTTACCGACGACGTTTCTGCGTTGGCTGCAAATGCAACCGACGAACAAAAAAAAGCCCACAAGAAAGTCAAGAAGAAAGATTGTAAAACTGCTTATTGTATTCAGACGACGATCGATGCTGCTAATTTCGACAAAATCTCTCTACTGAAACGGCGAAGGAGGCATGGGATATTCTGGTGAAGTATTACGAAGGAGGTGAGAAAGTCAAGGTTGTCAAGTTACAAACCTTGCGTCGATAATATGAGTTGTTATCGATGGGATAAGATGAAAAAGTTGCAGAATATGTGTCGAAGGTTCAAAAACCCGTCCATCTCATGAAGGGTTGTGGTGAAACCATAACTGATAAGATGATAGTTGAGAAGGTAATGAGAACGTTGACCTCTTACTTTGATCACATTATCGTAGCTATTCAAGAATCCAACAATCTTGAAACCACTAAAGTGGAAGATTTGGTTGGTTCGTTGGAGGCACATGAGATGAGGATTGTCGAAAGAAAAGGAGTGCAAGACTCGATACAGGCTCTGCAAGCTCAGTCATGGAAAAAGGATGGTGGTTCCAACAAATTCAAAGGCAAGTTCGACAAGACTCAGGGCAAGAAGTCTTGGTCGAAACCTCACAAACATCAGGTCAAAGATGGAGCTTCTGAATCCTCGAAAGGAGGAGGAAACTATCGAAAAGGTAAAAAAGATAAAAAAAAAAAGGTGTGCAATGCTATAACTGTGAAAAGTGGGGTCACGTAGCCAATAATTGTTGGTACAGAAAAGACAAGGGATCGACAAGCAACGAGGAATGAGCGAACCTTGTACGCCAAGATTCATATGATTTTGAAGGTGAAATGGTTGTTATGGCTGCAGTTGCAGATAACCATGTCGAATCCAAGATCTGGTTTCTCAACTCAGACTGCTCGAACCACATGACTGGTCGAAAGAAGTGGTTGGCAGATTTTGACGAGTTGAAGAAGAGCAAGGTAAAACTTGTTGATAATAGTTCGTTGCAAACAGAAGGTACTGAAAATATAGTCTTTCAAATGATTAATGGAGGTAAAGCTATGATCAAATATGTGCTTTATGTACCTGGAATAAAGTGCAACTTTCTAAGTGTTGGACAACTAGTCGAAAAAGGTTTCTCAGGTGTCATGAAAGATGGAGTTTTGAAATTGTTCGACACCAAGAACAATTTGGTCTTAAAATCTTCGTTGTCGAAGAACATGACATTTAAGACTATGATCAGTTCGACTGAAGTTCAATGTTTGAAAACTGTTATTGACCACAATGTCGATGAAGAAACTGATGAAGTCGAAGTCGAAGAAGAAACAATTGCTGACATTCTCGACACAGTCGAAGTCGAAGAGGTTGTGGCTGAAACAAGCCAAAGACCTCAAAGAAATAGAATTCTTCCAACAAGACTTCATGATTATGAAGTGGTGGGTGATGGTGAAGTCACACCAGGTGGAGAATTAGTTCATAGTGAAGCTTTGAAAACTAAACAATGGAAGTTAGCTATGGTCTAAGAGTTACAGGCAATTGAAAGAAACAACACATAGGAGTTAGTCATTGCCAACACATACAAAAGCTATCAAAGTAAAGTGGGTATTCAAGTTGAAACATAATGTTGATGACTCAATAGCAAGATATAAAGCAAGATTAGTAGCTCGAGGGTTTCTTCAAAGAGAAGAACCCGACTACTCTGAAGTATTTGCTCCAGTAGCAAGATTGGAGATTGTTCGACTAGTGGTAGTATTGGCATGCAACCAAGGCTGGTCGACATTTCATTTAGATGTGAAATCAACATTTCTGAATGGTTCTTTAGACGAAGAGGTCTATATCACACAACCTCCAGGATTTGTGATTCAGAAGGAAGCGAGTAAAGTGTATAAGTTACCCAAAGCGCTCTATGGCCTCAAGCAGGCACCTAGGGCATGGAACAAGAAGATCGAGTCATACTTAGTCGAATTGGGATTCGTCAAATGCAAATCTTAGTATGGTGTCTATGTTCAGGTTGTAGCACAAGATATAATAATCACTGCTTATATGTCAATGACTTGCTAGTGACTGGAAATAGCTTAGAGAACTTGTCGAAGTTTAAAGATCCGATGATGAAGGAATTTGAAATGTCTGATATGGAAAATTGTCTTATTTCTTAGGTATAAAATTTCAAATGTCGAAGCAAGGTATGGTGCTACATCAAAGAAAGTATGTCAAAGAAATACTCAAGAGATTCAGAATGGATGATTCAGATTCTGCATCCTCACCTGTCGAACCAAATGTAAAATTGGAGAAGAATGAAGTGGAAGACAAAGTCGATGTAACTTTGTTCAAGCAAATTGTGGGATCTCTGAGGTATGTGTGCAACAGTCGACCTGATATAGATTTCGTTGTAGGATTAGTAAGCAGATATATGAGTGAACCAAGAGTGTCACATATGAAGGCTGCAAGAAGAATCCTGAGATATTTGAAGGGTTCGATAAACTGTGGAATACTATTTCAACGAGATTCTGAAGACAAAGAAGCAATAGTTAATTGTTTTTCAGATGTTGATTGGTGTGGAGATAAGGAAGATCGAAGACGCACAACTGAATATCTCTTTCAAGTATTCGATGCCCCAATCTCATGGTGTTCAAAGAAACAACTTGTGGTGGCATTATGATCTTGTGAAGATAAATATATAGCATGATCCTATGCTACATGTCAAGCAATTTGGATCAGATCTGTACTTGAAGAAATAAAGGTCGGAGTGAAGAAACCTCGTGTATTGCAAATCGACAATAAGCCAGTCATAAATCTGGCGAAGAATTCAATTCTGCATGGAAGAAGTAAACATATTGAAGCAAGGTTTCACTTCTTGAGGAAAAAGGTAAATCGAGGTGAACTTGAAGTAAGACTTGCTCGAGTGAAGCATAGTTGACTGATATTTTCACCAAAGGATTGAAGATTGACAAATTCCTGAATTTGAGAAAGAAATTAGGAATAGTTCAGATTGACTATTTTGAGGATGTTCGACAACTTGGATTATAGGGATGTGTTGAAATATTAAATTAGATTTGTTAAAATATTAAATTAGATTTGATTTGATTAGATTTAATATTTAAATATAATCCAAGTTGTGTAGACCCAAATCCAATTAGGGTTGTATATAAATAGTCCTAGTCTGTATCATTATTTGTACAATTCAATAATATAAATCATTATTTTCTTTATTATTCCCTCTTTGTCTCCTCACTAAAGTGCCTCACGCACTAAGAAGTTAAACTCATCTTAGATGATGATTTTTTATTCCACCTCATGTCTAAAAGAAGTATCTTTTGCAATTCCAAAAATGCCCCTCGAAAATCAGAAATACATTTTCGGTTCGCACCATATTTTACAAAAACAGATCAAATGTGGTTTCACCCTTCAAAATGTAAAAAACAAAACTAGAGATATACTTTCGGTTCAGTACCGGTATTATGTTTCTAGTTTTTAGAGCGAAAAGATTGATTTTTTCTGCCACCTTGTCACTTCGTACATAATCGGAAGTATACTTTCAGTATTATGGAAAATTCATAATGCTTAAAATAGTAACCAGCATTGTCAACTTTGATCAAACCATTTCTTCTTCTTTCCACAAAACCTCTAAAAAACCCTTCCATTCTCAATCTATTTTTCCACTATAAATCTGCAGTTATATGGTTCATCATATCAAAAGGAGCTCAAGGAAGTGGAATTTAAGGTAAAATTTATTCATTTCAATCATCATTCTTTACATTAATCTGTTTTTCATTGTGGAAAAAGGTTACGTGAAACCGGATATATATTTCTGGTTTGTAGTTAAACGTAACAGAAAATGCATTTTCGGTTTCTGCTTGTGTTTAATTGACAACAGATTCTGCCATGTTCTATGTAAATGTTAATAAGTTTTATGTTTTTTATAATATTAGATATGGTGCATCCCGATAACATTCCCAAACCTAATGCATTGAGGAGAAAGTTTCGATCGAGCTAGATGCGACTATTTCAAGATCGGTCGATAATATTATCATGATGTTGCAACGTCCATGTAGATGTTGATTTGTAATGTTTAATTTATGTTAAAATCCTTAATGTATTTCCTATGTTTATGTTATTCATTGTATTTTGAGTTTGTTATATTGGTGTAATCCAATGACGATTTTTTGGTTTGTGTAGTACAAGAATTACTTCTCTGGATCAAAATCAGAATTTAAATTCTGGTTCCAATGTATAGTTTATTAGAATTTGATGTGCATCAGAAATATATTTCTAATTTTAAAAGGCATTAATAGAATTTTACGTGGTGCGTAAGAAAAACATGGGATGGAATAAAAAATTCCCTCTTAGATTTGCATCAAACATAAATACCTCCCAATAAAAGTAGGAATCTAAACTCATTTTACACCATAATTAAAATAGAGATATCGCAACTGTAGTCAAACCTTAGATCTTAAGTATGATCTGACAGCTTATGAAAGATCGTAAAACTCAAATTGTTAGTATAACACGTAAGATCCTACCGGAAAAAAAAACAGTACTTTCAAACATATATATCCACACATACACAAAAACATAAAAAATTATAATATATATACACAAAAATCCCTAGCATTTTTTTTACAATATTGCTTTGAAAAGGTCAATATTGACCATGCCGGCAACATAAACAATCTTTCTTTGAACGTCACACTCATAGACATCCTTAATACATAATCAACACTCGATCTTGACTACACCGGATATATAGCACTAATTGTCTCATCAGCAAATAAAAATTGAGTATCTAGGGAACTTCAAATCCAAATAGTCTACCAGGTTAATGTTGACTATTAGAAAGGGAAGAAAAAAGATCACTTGAAGAAGCTGCTATATGGCAATCTTAGAGAATGCTGAATCAATTCAAGACAGTCTCCAGCGAAGGGAATACAATTGGTGCTTGGTCTCCTCTTCTTCTCTATATGGTGTGACAAAAAATTAGTTACCTTCTGCTGAAGCAACTTAAGTCAAACAAACAATTATTCTTATATGCTAAAAAAAATTTGCATGTTAGAACAAGACTAATGTGCAGACCGAGAGAAAAATATATATTATATAATCTCACCAAACGAGGCGAAATGAAATGAATCTTAGTCTAATGCGTTCATCCTATGATTTTCAGAATCAAGTTTTTACCTTAATTCCTTTTGATTAGGTAAAATTGAAACGTAAAATTGAAACATAAAATCCTAGATTTTAACTCATATTTAAATAATATTAAATTTATATACACGACATATATACTTATATAATATTGTAAATGCATCAATAATTTAAATTTTGTAACTTAATTATAAATCAAAAATATACTATATCACCATAATAAAGTGTAATATTTACCAACTTGTATCAAACTGCCTAAATTATCTACCAAATCATAAATAGTAACATCCAAAAGATTATCCCAAAAAACAAAAGTTTCATAAGTTTCTCAAGTTCAAAGAAACAAGTGTTTTCGTCTTCATCTTTAACTTAATCAAAAGTTCAATTCATTTACAACATCATCTTCATTAGTGTATTCATATTCAACTTGATTAAACTTATATCTAGATGATAAAGGTTCTTCAATACTATAACCAAGATATAAATGTGAATAAAATTAAAAAGCATGAGAAGTTTTCATGGGGGAAAAATATAAAATTTATTTTTTTTAATTTGACAAAAAAGGTAAAATCGGGTCAAAGAGTAAAATTCAACGATTTTACACGATTTCACTGATTTCAGAACGATTTAAATCATTTAAAATCATCCCAGAATATGATTTTACATAAAAAGGTTTTAACCTACGATTTAACACGAAATATTGACCTAGAAACGTGAAATTTATAGAGTTTAGGTTTTAAATCGAGATTTTAACAACCTTGGTTCAGCCAATTCAAATGAAACAAAACAAACAAACACAAGTGTATAATTGAACATAGTCATTGAAGGGTGTAACAAGTAACATACTAATGAATCATTGTTTAGACTAATAAGCCATAAATAAAAAGCACACTCAGATGATCAATCTAACTTTTGATCTTTATACAGATCCAATAACAGCGACAAATCTTTCTGAAATGGTGTCACATATCTCTTCAAAAACATCCTCTCAGTTATGGTAATAAAGCTACTTATGCGCAAACCACTCTTTATCAAACCCCTTAACTTGGAAATCTTAACAACTGCATATCTAGGGACATGCGTCTTCTCCAAGTTACGATTTAGAATCCCAAGGCTCCTAGCAATGTCTTCTAGTGTAAGACCCACATCATTCACCAAGAACTTCATTGTTTTCATAACCTTTTTCTCTAATATCATTCATACACTGAGGATATTTCTGAAAAGCCAAAAGGCAGATATGTCTTGACCAGCCACACCTCTCCAAAACCTTAAAACTTGATTCCCAACTTTTCATGTTCATCTTTCCAATTACTTGAAGTGCCAAAACAAAATTAGACTTTAAAGGATCAAACTCCATTTCTTTGACCGAATTAACGACCTGAACAAAGGAAATGTAACGTTGAGGAATACCAACTTGTCTCAAAACCTGAATGTTTGGAACATAATCATTGACCATTACATCATAGTGTTTACCAGTGATTTCTGACAAACAACCGCTAGTCTTCTAAATCTTATGCTTTGGTAACTTACATGATCGACTAGATTGATCCTAGGACATAGTCTTAGTGTTCTTACATCTAATTCGAAAGAAAACATTATACGGATAATAACAAGGTTTTTCTATGGTTACAATGATCTCAAGATGTTTAAAGTTTGACTATGAATCTTAAATATATCTTTAAAGGGAATAATCTGGGAATTTGTGAAAATATAAAGACAATGCTTAATAAGAAAAGTTTAATAAAATTGTTAAAAGACTAGATTGGAAACGAAAAAGGAATAAAAGTGATTAAAGACTTTGTACTAATAAATTAATTCTGAATAAAATTGGTGGTGCTCTTACACATACATTATCAACAAACTTATTTCTCTCGCTCTGGTACTTTGAGTATAATATGATTTTGTATACAATTCAAACACACACCCTTTTTCTAGCATCTAAGACTTCTATTTATACTAATTTGACCCTAACGGTCCTTCTACGAAAACACGCCATGTTCGAAGATTGCATGTCTTTCGAACTGTTAGACTTCCACGTGTCTCTTTTATAAGATCGAAGCTTTTGAATTCGAAATCTTCTTCTTTTTGAAGCACCAATTCAAACAACTTTACGGTTAAAATATCTTTCTTTGTAATGCTTCGAATAACTTATATTTCCATAGTTCGAAGACGAACCCTTCGATAACTATTTATACTGATTTGACCCTAACGGTCCTTCTACGAAAACACGCCATGTTCGAAGATTGCATGTCTTTCGAACTGTTAGACTTCCACGTGTCTCTTTTATAAGATCGAAGCTTTTGAATTCGAAATCTTCTTCTTTTTGAAGCACCAATTCAAACAACTTGACGGTTAAAATATCTTTCTTTGTAATGCTTCGAATAACTTATATTTCCATAGTTCGAAGATGAACCCTTCGATAATGGTTCAATATAGTAAAACTCTTTACTAGCTCTTAATCAATCGAAGATTCCATAAAAACCTTCTTATACTTTCCCTTGAACAACTCTTTCTTCGATCAAAAAGCCTTAAAACTTGTATAATCAAAATTCCCAGCTAACAAATTGCCTCCTCAAAAATGTGTATTTCGTTACATAGAGAAATAGTCATTTTTGAATAACAACTTTGAATTTCGATATATTCATAATAACCACTTCTGACTAATAACAACTTCTGATGATAACTTCAGAAAATTTCTGACTTTGGAATGTTTGAATATGATTCAGAATCAGAAGATGAATATGAAGTTTCTGAAGATGAGTCAAAATTAGAAGTTGACTCTGAAGGTAGATATTTCAGGAAAAGCCATTTTGGCAATTAATTGGATCACCATTTTGGCTATACATACTTTTGTTGCTTATTCCCTTGCCATGAATTTTACTTCCTGCAAAAATGGTTTATACTTCTTTAAGTATTTCCCATTTACTTTCAGGATTCTTTGATCCTCAGATAACTCCTCTACTTCATAAGCGTTATTTGAATATGCCTTTAAGATTCGAAAAGGTCCTTCCCAATATAGGGACCATTTTCCTAACGCTTTATTCTTTCGATCCATAGGTAAAATGACTTTCAATACTAAGTCATTTAGAATAAGAGTCTTGCCTTTGACCCTCTTATTGTATGATCTTTCCACTCTTTCCTTTTTTCTTCTCAATCTTTCTAAAGCATGTAACCATTTTTCATCTAAATCTACTAATTCATTCATCATCATTTCCCAATAAAGGTCAGAAGGAATTTCCTCTTGTCTTTGAATTCTAACTTATTATAAGTAGATTTCGATTGGCAATACTGCATCAAACCCAAATGTGAGTTGGAAAGGTGTGGTATTAGTTGCTTCTTTAAGGGAAGTTCGACAAGCCCATAATGCTTGGTCTAAAGTTTTGTGCCAATTTTTTGGCTTTTTTCCTACATGCTTCTTTACCAACCCAATTATCACTTTTTTGGCTTCTTCGACTTGTCCATTCGCTTGAGCATAATAAGGTGTGGATGTCAATAGTTTGAAACCCGTTTCCTTGGCGAACTCCTGCATCTTTCGACCAGTGAAAATTGATCCTTGGTCTGTTGTGATACTCTCTGGGATGCCAAATCTATGGACTATATGTTTCTGAATAAATTCGATAACAATTTCTTGATCCACATTCACTAAAGGTATGGCCTCAACCCATTTTGTAAAGTAATCTATACCTACCAAAATGTACCTGTGGTTTTTAGATGAAGTAGGTCGAATTTCTCCAATTAGATCTAGCGCCCAACCTCTGAAAGGCCAAGGTTTAATAATTGCATGAAGTTCACTTACTGGCGCGTGTTGAATACCAGCATGCTTTTGGCATTCTTGACATCCCTTAGCAAATTCTATACAGTCTTTGAGCATAGTAGGCCAATACATTCCATATCGAAATAACAACCACTTCATTTTATGGCCTGCTTGATGGGCTCCACATGCTCCACTATGAACACTAGATAGTGCCAAATATGCCTCACTTTATCCTAAGCATTTTAGCAAAACTCCTTCAGGGGTTTTCTTGAACAACTTATTCCCCATTAAGATATAAGACAAAGCTCTGTATTTAATCTTTCTTTCTGTATCTATCAAAGGATCTCTGAGGTAATTAACAATTGGATTTCTCCAATATGTATCTTCTAAAGTGTTAGTGGCCAATACTTTGAATGTGTCTTCATTAGTGTTGTACCCCAAAATTTTCCCTCTCAATTTCTCAAGTAATCTCCCACAAGATCCCCATCAATTCAAGACTGCACAAAGTTTGATCAGCTCAAGACACCTCCTTAACACTGATAACTCAAAATTAGGGTTTGAGTTTGCACAAGGATAAATGGACTTTTAATTCCCCATATGACTTTCATGGATCATTTTGGACTCTCAATATTTCTCATGTCAAGTTTCAAGTCTTGGATCACCTTTTTGCTCAGTCAATTGATCAGATGACCTAAAATCAGTGTATTAGGAAAAAAGTCAACTGTGGTCAATTTACAGTCAAACATCATATTTTTTATCCATATCAACATCATTAACTCATATATGTCAACTTATCAAGTTTGGATCACAATTCCTCAAGAAATTTGATCAGAACATCAAAAGGGCAAAATGGTCAAAATTAGGGTTTTGACTGAGAAGGTGCAATTTCTGATTTTTGACCTAGCAAATGACTTATTGGTTTAAGACATGACCTAAAGGATTAAAATTATTTATTTTGACCTAATGGCATGGCTAAAAACATTTCTCAAGATCAATTGATTGACAGATGAATTTCAGTCAACTGATGAAAAGTCAACTGTACACTGAAAAGTCAAACTTTGACTTTTTGATCAAAATCAAGTGTCAAAGATCACAATTCATCAATACATGTCAAAATATGAAACTTTTTTTATCAAGAAATCAAAAAGTCAAGATTTCATTTTGAAAAGTCAAAATTTCCAAGACAGAATTTTTGTGTTGAAAATTCATGTTTTTTTCATAACTTTATGCCAACTTTCCACCATGATGCAAGATGATTCAAAGGAAACTTCCAACATGAAATTTGTATATCTCAATGAGATCTAAAAAATTGTAGATCATAACTTTTTCTAGAAATGCTTAGATTTCAAGTTATGATTTTGTGAAGACATGTTCATGAAATTTGAAAACTTAGTGAAATTTTGCCCTAGTTTAGGCAGAATTTTGACCTAACTTCATGGAAATTTTTCACATAGTTCCAAGATGAATATTCAAAAATGTCCAACATAAAGGTTGTAGAGTATGTTAAAAGATTTTTAAAATGTCCAAGAACTCATTGAGATCATACTTGAGAAAGGAGAATCGAAGGCAAGAAGTTAGGGTTTCATTCTTGAATTACAAGCCATTTCTTGATGAACACATGAACCAAATCCATGCTAGGCTGCATAATATTTGCTTTGCAGGCCTTAAACTTGTTTTCTGCTCCATAATTAATGTTTCACACAGCTTTTAGAAGCTTTAATCCAAGCATTCAATGCATTGCCCATGCTTAATACCATTTTAGGAAGAAAGACAACATTGCCATTTTGGAAAAGTGGCTTTATGCATAAAGTCCACTCTTCTTGAGCTTCTAACTTGTTGTTATGAACACACACAAAATGTATGCTCAGAAGCAACATGTTTAAAGTTTCTAAGCCATCCTATGAGCCAGGTACTTGTGCATTGGAACCACATTTCTCAAAGCTTTCTTCAAAATCAAGTAAAAAGCCACAAACATGTGATTCTTGATTTCTGACTTATCCAAGCATCCAAACTTGTTGCTTATAAATAGAGGCCTTATTTGCAAGTTAACACACGAGTTTAAGCACCCTGAAACTCTCCCAAACTCCCTCAAATCAGAACTTGCATCAAAACTCTATTGTTGTGCACATTCTGACTTTGAAACCTAAACTCACATTTCCCTCATGCGTTTTCATTCCTAATCATTCACAAAGCTCCTATACATCAAATACAGTCCATCCCTGACCCTGTTTCATAACTGTAACTCCATCTTCATCATCTTCCAGATTCAAATAGAGCACTTCAAGTTAACTTCTCCAGGCCATTCCAACCATCCATTGCTCAAGCTAATCATTGCATTAGCTTTCTGGGGACTTGAGGAAGCTAACCTGATCATTGCATCACCTTGATCAAGCTCATTTGCATTTAACGATTTCCAGTTTTGAGGTATCATTTCTGAACCTCTAACTTTTCATTTAGGCATTGTTAGGCTTGCATTTGTGAAGATAAAATGTAGACATCATTGCCCTGAAACTGTACATGTCCATAGATTTCATTTATATTGATTGAGCTTAGAGAATTTTAGGTTCGAATCTCTGAAAATAATTAAGTCAGAATTTGGTAATTTTTAAAATTCATGCTCATCTTTGATTTATAGCTTATGATATTTATATGGTTGGATTCATATGGAAAAATGGAGTAACTTTCATGTTTGCATCTTTCAT